AAAAGAAGTAGGTTCCATTCAGTTAGAAGTTGAAAACCTAAATTTCGAAGTTTTTACTATAAGAAATGATTTACTATAACATCACTTTTTAAAGTGAAACGTGTAGTTTGTGTTTATTGTGAAATTATAAAAGCTTTCAAACACACGACAAAGAAAAAATTTTCATGCAAAAAGTCAAAGGTTCTTGCTGTTACCGAATTTGAAGCCAGTAATTATTTTTACTACTATTGCAAAAGCAGCAAATAATTCAAGAAATCTGCATTGTTTCGATTTAGTTTGAAACGCACACCACGGCGAATGAATGACAAGCAAAACATTCTTCCCGCGTAACTTTGGGTTTCAACCACAACCACTTCGAAGCCAACACCAATGGTCAGTACAGCCGAAGTTGCGGGCCACTGACCCCCGAAGTACCAGATCGGATCAACTCTGGTCAGTTGTCGCAAGTTGCCGCCCCACAACTCACTACCATTTGCATTTCCTACATAAATGCCAGACTGGCACTGGGGGATATTAGTCGCCTTTTACGACAGGCCATCCTAACCGCGGGAGTATTCTTTGTCCCCTCTCCGCAGGGATAGTAGATAGGGACAGAAGGAATCTCGTTAATCCATTCATGCGCGTCACTAATTAGATGACGAGGCATTTGGCTATTTTTTTTTTTTTTTACTCGCAGGGGGAAACCTTACATAGGCACCAACCGAATAGTGGTTGGTAGTGTGAGATTCTTACTCACTAGAACCTTCCTGGAATTTTGCGACTCGATTTGCTGGAGGCGTCACCCCGAAATAGCTAAGAATATGATGAAAACTACCCTACACCAGCGCGGACCGATGTGTTGTGGTTAAAGGTGGTAAAAGCTGCAAACCCACCAATAATTACTCTCGTGCTGATAACTGCTAGATCTTGTTTTGTTATCATTTTTGCGTTTAGCAATATGCGCGCGGATCGTTTGCTCCATACGCCGCGCCAATTGAGAGTAATCCCACAACATTTTGCGTCCTCGGCATTGTATCTATGACGAAGAAGAGCTTTTAGGTCTTCCCTATCATATTTACGTGCCTTATCAGTATCGAAAACATCTAGATTCCCGTCTGTCCTTATTTGAGCATCAAGGACCCACACGGTACCATTCTTGCAGGCCACAATGTCGGGTTTAACGGTAGAACCGTCAGGTAATTGGAAAGCGGGTTCGATTGATGTTGCGATGCCTCTGTTATCCAAATTACTCTTCATGTATTTTACAACGGCATTGTGACGTGCAATTCTAGCACCGTGCGTCCGATGGCATTGCTGTAAGATATGATTGAGGGAATCCGGAACTTGACAACCAGCTCTGCAGTTTCTATCAATTGCAGCCCTACCCCTAGAGGTTCGTGATCTAGAGGGTAAAGCGTTAATTCGTAGTCTTACAGAGTTGACGTAGTCCTTCCCTTTCGACAGCTTTGTCGGTTCGCGTATCCACCTGTTTGTTTGTGGTAGGTAGTGACAATCAGATAGCCCTACGCCATCGACTGTTGCATGTAATCTACCTGACCACATTTTATCGATATCCTGTCGTGACTGCAGTTGGTTTCCATTCACACATAGTCGCCTTACGGCCTTTGAGACCTCAGCTGCGACTAGTGTGTTCGCTGTCACGCAAGAATCCAAACAAGGCATTTTGAGATTTGAAAGTCTCATAACGCGAAGTAGGGGTCCGACCCATCGTAGACTGGGTACACCCAAACCACCACTACTCATTGGAGCGTGAAAGTAGGATATGGGTGTATCTGATGGTAAACGAAGCCACGTTCGCACTGTATTTCTGATGATGCGGTCAGTTTTATTTAGGCAACTGATAGTAATGTTACCTAGAGTAATCTTATGATACAACTGAGGTATCAGGATTGCTCTCAGTGCGTGCATGCGCTGTTGCGGCTTTAACGGCGCACGCTGTAGCTTGTTTAACTTAGGGATCAATTCGTCCTTGGGCATGAACAGTGTTCTACCTTCAGGAGTAAATGTCACCCCAAGATACCGCCAGGTACCTGATCTTTTCATTGACGGAATCGCGTGCTGACCACGTTGAAAATTCTGTTGCTATTAACCATGGTGATTTTCTTTTTAGCGTTGGCTTCAATGCTAATGGTAAGGCTTTTCGCTGTATTTATAGACATGCCGCACGATTCCAAAAAGCACGCGCAGCTGTCAATCAACAGTTGAAGCCCTGCAGGTGTCTTACCAATTAAGATAAGATCATCTGCAAATGCCATAGCATTCAAGCGAAAATCGCTAATGGTTGAGCCGACTTCTTTAGGCAGCAATTCCAACAATCGGTTTACAACGACATTAAAAAGCAGAGGTGATAGAGGGTCACCTTGCTTTACACCTCTCCCTGGAACCAGGGCATTGCTGATCCAGCCTTTGCCACACAGCACAGTTTGTGAGTCTTGAAGGAGGATACCAACGTAATCTACAAATTCTTTGTCGAACCCATAGTAGTTGAGTATCACTTCAATACTCTTGCGCGAGACGGTGTCAAAAGCTTTACTTATGTCTAGACTAGCAATGTGACAAGCTGCATGGCGTTGATGGTGATCTCTAAGCAGCAAGTCAAGGAGTGTTGTGTTGTCAGCACAACCATCGGACCGGATGAAGGCACGTTGTCAAGAGTCGAATGGAAATTTCTCCAGCAGTCTTCCAGCAAGGACTTGATTAAGAAGTCTTGCCAGAATAGACGGGACAGTAATAGATCTGTAATCATTTGGATCGGAACTGTTAGCTTTCTTAGGAATAAAAATTGTTCGCGAATCCCTGTGGGCGGTGGGTAATCTCCCGCACCACATTATTAAACTTAATACTGCCGCCAACGTGTCTTTGCTCATACCATTAAGATCCGATGGTTTGAGTCCGTCAGGACCAGGTGATGTGGATGCATCAAGCTTACGAAGTTCAGTACATCTTATGGGATACCATAGGTGAATATTGGTTCCAGGGCTTTGCCATGTCTCATTAGATGGTCGATTTGGACATGATTGAGTCATTATGTGCCGCCAATAGGGCTCCATAATATCCTGAGCAGGCTCATAGTTGGAATCATGAGTCCCGTCCAGAATACTCTTAATGCAACGCCCCTGATGTAACTGAAAATTGCGTTGCACCCTCGCATATTCCATCCGCCTTCTCTGCCTCCTATTAGGATTTCGAGGGTTTCCGGTTTCTGCTTGGATGCGTCTGTTCCTTGGCCTGGGGCGGAATACAGTCGCCAGTAGACTCGAGAGCCTAACTAACGTTTCTTCTTTCCCTAGGTACAGCGCATTCTCCATAATAGACTTTAATGCATCATTTACGGGTGAAGCTGGAAGCGACATTGCTTGTACTTCGGTCTCAGCCGGATGAGCTATCGGAACAATAGTTACGACGGGTGTTACGATCAAACCGTCGTTAACAAACTGCCTAAAGCTATCCTTTTGCCTCACTTTCTTAATAGCTTCGAGTGAACGATTTGGAAAGAGTTTAGCCAATTCCACGTTACTGAAACGAACACCACTCTTAACTAGGTCCACTTCGGCTCGTGCAAGAATGCGCATTTCCTCTTCGGTCCAGCGAACTTTGGCCTGTTGTTGCGCGGAGACACGAACTTCATCCAACACATCTGGATGTCTTCTTTTTTCATGGACGCCTCTTCCTGACTTAGTCGAGAAAGATCGGTCGCAGAAATGACACCGATACACACTAGATGCGTTCGGTGTTTCATCAATTCTTATTGTCACTTGGTTGTCAGTGGCAGGTACCATTGACGTCGGGTTATCCAGGCCCGTAACTATATTGTTATTTGTAGTTGTACCAAGTGATTAAGGATGTTCAGCGATGGCAACCCATGAGAACATCCTAGGCCTCATCAACTTAGCCGACCATTCATCATGATCGTTACTGGCAGGCACCACGAAGAGGTGTGATGTAGGCACTTCCATGATCTCTTAAGAATCAGTTCCCGAAGGTTAAGAGAATCATAGTTACTCCCGCCGTTTACCCGCGCTTACTTGAATTTTTTCACTTTGACATTCAGAGCATTGGGCAGAAATCACATAGTGTCAACACCCGCTAGGGCCATCACAATGCTTTGTTTTAATTAGACAGTCGGATTCCCCAATAAAAAACCAAAGAAAATGGATTGTTTGCAACGATCTTTTCGTGATTCATTTCGACGAAGAAAGGATCGGGTACCAGAATCATCGAAACCACATCAATGGCAAGCAGATGAAAAAGCTGTTCGTTCAGCAACATGTTCATTACCTGTAAAATATTTAGGTTGTGTTGAGGTATTCGAATCGCGCGGCATGCCAGCTTGCGAGGAGGCCCTGAAAGTTTTAAGGAATTCCCGTCGTCGTCCTGTTCGTGGCATGCTTCATGTAAGTGGGGATGGTTTGCGTGTAGTCGATGATGAAACGAAAGGTCTTATTGTCGACCAGACCATTGAGAAAGTGAGTTTTTGTGCGCCAGATCGTAATCATGAACGTGGATTTAGCTATATATGCCGAGATGGTACTACTCGTCGTTGGATGTGTCATGGTTTTCTTTCATGCAAGGACATTTGTGAACGTCTATCGCATGCTGTTGGTTGTGCGTTTGCCGTTTGTTTGGAACGTAAACAACGTCACGATAAGGAGTGTGGTGTAACAATGACATTTGATGCAAAAAGTGCAACTTTTACACGTACTGGCTCATTTCGTCAGCAAACACTAACTGAACGTTTGGCAAGTAATGAACGTAGTGTCGATACGCCTTCAGTGGCAGTTCCTCCACAGCCACAGGCAAAGCCATACAATCCTTTTGCCATTGAAAGGCCTCATGCTACACCATCTATGCTAGAAAGGCAGGGTTCATTTCGAGCCTTCAGCACAATCGGTAGTCAGTCGCCTTTCAAACGACAAATGTCGTTGCGTATTAATGATCTTCCGTCCAATGCAGAGCGGCAAAAAGCATTCTTAACAGCTAATACCAACACACTTGCTTTAACTACTCCCAATCGTGGTGTTTCACCTATAACAGAAGTCTCACCGGCTAAAGCAAGACTTGATACAGAAATCGATAGTAGTACAACAGTTGATACAGTAAGTCAGCTATGTCAAGAGCTGAGCCAAGGCTTGTCATTACTAACACAAACAGACACATTGATTGGCACTGAAGACGATATTAATTTCAATAATAATTTAAGTATTAATCAGAATATTATTGCAGCTGAAAAACAACAACAGAAAATAGTTACTGCATCGCCTATAATATCAAACAGTTATGGGTATATTGCTACTGGAATAAGCAGCACTAATAGTACACCTACTGCACAAGTAACGCCGCGAATTTCCTCCATTTCGCCAGTTTCCAGAACTTCGCCACCAATGAATTCAACTGAAACGACATCTCAAGCAGTTATAACGCCAACAACAAATGCCGTTGCAATATTAACACCACCAACAACAACAATAGCAGCGCCAGCAACAATGACTGTATGTGCTGATCATTGGTATGGTCAAGTAGTCAAAAGTATTTCACCAGTACCAATTAAACGTGCTCCACATATTGCTGCAACCGGTCGAGCACAATCGTTAAGCTCAGCACCAAACGCTGTAGACCTCTTTGACGCAGAATGGGTTGCTAACGTAACAAAACCACTATCGCCAGACTTACCAGTTCCCCAAGGCAAAGCACCACTACACAGCACCAATCCATTCATTTCACCTCCTAAGCCAACCCAGACATTCCAAGTAGAACTTTGAAGAAATGAAAAAATAATCAATCGGGGGATCAATACAAAGCAACACATCCATACAAACACACAAACACATACCTAAAATTTAGAAAAAGTAAAAATTATATTAAAAATAAATAATCATTATTAGCACAAGGATTGCAAATTACAAAATTACTAAGAAGCAGATAAACAGTTTTTGAGGATTCTACCTTGTCCGGATGAGAATGCGGATATCTATGTTAATGCAGCTTATGATGAGGAAGTTATGAACTAGAAAATCAAAACCGACCATTCGTACGAGTATTTATTTTTATTTGCGATTACAAATAACCTGAACAAAAATTAGTTTAAACGTTGTTACTTAACTACAATTAAATTATTCATGTTAAATACTTAAACATTTTATAAAAATAAAATATTATTAGCGAAATAGAATAAAAAATTACTGACTTCTGCTTTCTTTTAAAGAAAGCGCAAAGGATTATGTGAAACTGAAATTAAAAGATATATAAATAGCAATCAAAGGTTTATATTTATTATTTTTATAAAAATTTATTTAAATGTGAGTATCTCCATTGCGAGTGTCTCAATATTTTATTAGGTTTCGTTTATACGTTTATGCGGTAATGCGTTTATGCGTTAATACGTTTATACGTTTATGTAAGAAGCAAAATCTAGAAAGTAAAAGATTATTATTTATGAGAGTATGTTATGTATTTTATATGTAAAAAATGTAAAAATGAATAATATTCAAAGCCTTTTTTGTACAAAATCGAATAAAATACGTAAGAAATCCGAGGTTTCTGTCATGTTCAAGCCTCTACATATCACGTGTACTGGGAGTTTGTTGCAACTCAACTCACTGTTCAGGTGCACAATGCACATGCAACCATACCTACCTACCGATAGGAGAAGTTGTTTTTGATTCTCAGCCATTGGCGTAATTGTCCTTTGCCTGATAAACGAAACAAATCACAATAAATAAATAAATAAGAAAACATTTTGTCATTAATTTAAGTTTTTTTATAGAAAATATATAATTGAAAAATGTAATTTAATGCAAATTAAGCATTATTAATAGTTTTCTTTAATTATGTAGTATTGAAATATTTGAAAGTCATTACCATATTAAAAATGTTAATAAACTGAACAATTGTTGTTGCTCATTGGATGTTATCCAAAGAAATATTACATCCTGTACAGACGGGTCCTGCTAACATTTTCTTTAAATTTAAATTACACTTCACTTTGACACAGGCATCGATATTTCAAAGGACACTTCATTTATTGGTGTTTCCAGTTCCTCTGATGGACATTATTTCTTCATATTAGATTGCGACGAAATTCAGTTCCATAATTTCTTTACTTGAATATGGTTTTATTCGAAGGTATTGCGGAAGTAATATGGTCCGTTATAAAATTAATTTTTTTCTTTATTTTTAATTTCACTCATTGCTCATTTCTTTACACCCAGGTTAGTGTCATTAAGTATCTTTACTCATTAATAGTTGTGGCCAATTACGGTGTACCAAGAGTAAGTAAGAAATAGTAAGTAAAGGTATAAAAAATATTGTAGTGAGGATATGAGTATCTGGCTTTTGAACGTATATGGTATATGGTTATGACCTTTTAGTATGTTATATTTGACCGAATCTTACTTTAGATCGATGTCTATTTACATTTCTGAAATACCACAGATTGAATATGGTATTTACACCTTATATAATTAAAATGAAATAATTGTTTTAAAATTCGAATAAGTAATATTTATACTTTAAAAACTTTTTTGAAAATTCTGTAAAAATTAAGAATTAAAAGAATTTGTTTAGCCCGAATATTGCCCTGGATGCAATTGTTTTATTGAAAACGTGTTAAAATTGTTTAATAATCATAGCAAAAGAGGTTTAGTTAATTACAGCGAATTAAGCGAATTTTCAAGAATTAAATATTTCCGGAAATTGTGGAACTCTGATTTTTTTAGGTCGTCCGTGTTAGCAAGTGTCTTTACAATATAGACCCAATGATTCTTAAAAACTCTTAGATATTACATATCCATATTTTTTTGTTAGCTCGGTAGGATTTTAAAAGTTTTAGTTTTAAGTGTTAGAGTACTTCAATCGCATATTTTGTACTCATTAGTAAAGAATTAAATATGTTTTGCTCTTGATTACAAATTTATACGTGTTTATTTGAAGAAAATGGAATGCCATTGAAGGATATTTTTTTCAAATAGAGATGTCGTTCGTACATAAAAATAGTAGTCCTTCATCTAAATGGTACTAAATGGTATTTTTAAATGGTATTAAAAAGTTGCAATCGTGCTTACATTGCTATTCAGGTAATATATTAATATATCTATAATAAATATGTATAGCTATATTTCTTTATTACAGAATATAGGATTGATTAGTCAATATTAAGTGAAAACAGACCCCTCAAACAGACTTTTAGTCGTTTAGATTATTAGATAGATGATTGACATGTGATTTTGAAGTAATTAATATTGTTCAAAAATATTATTGTAATTTAACGAAATAACGGTTCTAGAAGTGAATTCAATCCTTTTTTAATATATCATTAAAAATCTTGGCGATTATTTTCTACCAAAAATGAACAAGAATGTTCATTAACAATCTTTATGTCCCTTACCACTGGTGGGGGGAAACAATAAAAGATTGGTGAGACGTTGATTTACTTTCAACAACTGATTTTATTTAAATTGATTTGTTCTTTTATACAAAATAAAATGCAACCGTAATTGCAAAACATACAATAAATAAAATAACTTATTGCTTAATTCGCACAAATTGCTTAATAAGCAATAGTTGCGAATGCTTTACTTATGACCTAATTTTTACTTTTTGTTGATTCGTCAACCAAGAAATTAAGCAACAGGTGTGAGCGATTAACTCATGACCTAGTTCTTAATTTTTTGTTGATTCGTCAACAAAGACCTTATTTAATGCTAATGCATCTTTCGCATAGCACACAAAATAATTATTTGATACACAAAAAACATATATAGGTATATATTGGAACGTGCTTACCAGAATTCCGTTTTCTGTCTAATTACCCGTTTGTTTCTTGGCGTAGTTTTTGTCGGTTCTCCTTCTTCTCAGACTAACGCCATAGTCACGTATCAGACAGTACCATTGACATAAGACTTTCATAGAGTACTATTAGAGCCTTCTATGAAGTTTCTCTGTCTGGCAACTATTAAAACTCCCAGACCGGTACTCTGCGCGTGCTAAGATTTCAGTATTGCTTTCCCTTGGCTAAAATGACTGCACCGTGTTTTGATGGTGAATTGTGCCTCTTACAACTATGATAAAAAAAAATGTGCCTCGTTCCGCGATGATAGTACCAAAGCGCCAGTCAAAAGATGATTTCAACAAAACATCGATTCCAGATTTGTGCGCCCTTTTATTCAGTCTTGACGACACTTTGAGTGCTGCTATATACTGGAATTGTTTATTTGTTTACGCGTAATGTGCATTTTTTTTTTATTTGCAGAAATTGTTTTTGGTTATTTACGACTTGATTCCATGCCTATTGTTTTGTCACATTTTATTTACTAAAATTGTTTTTGCCTGTTTATCATTTTTCTCTGCTGTCTGCAAATGTTTTGTATGTTCATCGTTTGGACAAATAATTTAGGGTCTGGCAGTATTTTGTAGTCCTAATTTTATTGAAAAAAATAAAATTGGGTCGTTACAAGGTTGATTCATTGCTTTTAGCACATTTGATGACAGTGTATCAGCGAGATCTTTCACGGCTCTCCTCATATATGGAATCTTCATTACTGTTGTGTTGTGCCATACTTAAAAATATTAAATTATCGGGAATTTTAGAGAGAGCATCATTGATTTAAAGATACTAACATAATATAACGAATTGAACGAATTGAATGCTAGATATATTTGATTGACAAAATTAAAAGTTGGTTTCTTCCTATTTTACGATAAATATTCAAAGATTCCATTATTTTTGAATTGTCTCATATTTAATGTATAATAATATTCAACTGTTCTGAAAATATTAATACCATATGTGTCTCAAAATAGTATTTATAAATATTTGCCAATTTATATTTGAAAGTTTGAAAGCTTAAAAAATAATTTTTATAAAAGAAAAATAATTAACTGCCAGTAATCAGCTAAAACAATAGATCTAAAAAAACAGACTGCCGAAAATTTGAATGGTTTATGTATGTGCCCTTTTTATAGTAACTAAAATCCAAAATTGGTTTAATGTAAAAAATGTAAAAAAATAAAATTATTTTTATGTGGCATATATGCACTCAAAATGACAAAAAAAATTTTATATTTAAATTAATTGTGCATGTAAACGAAAAGCCATTTGAATTACTTAAATTTGATCTTACTTTGTATTAAAAAAATATTTATTGTGATTTTATTTAATGAATTTTATAATATTAAGTTTATAGCCGAAATTGTGTATTTTCTAAATTTTATTGTTAATTTTAAATTATGTATTTATATTAGTTCCACAATTATATTTTTCATTCTTGATGGAATTTTTTACCGCAAATTGTAAATTAATTTGATTTTATAATAAATTTTATATGAAAGATTTTTATGTTAAAATAAAATAATAATAACAAAATAATGTACTTAATATTAAAAATTATATTAAAAAATAACATCATATATTAATGCCTATAAATCGTGTTAATTTATTTCGGAACATCATTTTTTTAAGAAGTTTGTTTATTAGTTAAATATGATTACAAACGTCTTTTTGTAATTATATTAATTTACAATCAATATGTTACAACCTTACAACCCTATAGATTGAATTTTTTTTACTTTTCTATATTAAAAGAATAAATAAACTAATTTTAAAAAAATATATAGAGTAAGAAACAAAAATATGAAAGCAATTTTTCAAGCTGTTAAGATTCTGTCGTGAATAAAAACTAAAAATTAAAAAAAAATTGTAACAAAAGAAATAAAATACGAACTTAAATATATATAAAAAATAATTGACTAAAAATTTATTACAAAATTTTAGACTTAAATTTTGAGGAGTTTAGATTTCGAATAATTTATATAAAAACTACGTTTAATGTAACTGTATAAAATAAACAATATAAAAATATAATACATATAAAATATATATATATATATTAATTACGTATACAAAATTTGTAAAATAGCAATAATTAGATTTAATTTGAAACTTAAATATCTATGTATACAATTTTTATATTTAAACTGAAAATAAAAATCAGTTTTAAAAAACAATTAATTAAAAATTTTTATTTTTCTCATTAATGAAGAAATGTATAAGTAAAGTACTTGG